TGCAGCCCTGCATTTTCCGGGGCAGTTAAGACAATTTCTCCATTACTGTGGCACAGCCCTGTTGAGTTCGCTCAGCGGAGCTGAGCGTGCGACGGAGGGAGGACGGTGTGTGCGACCCCCTCCCGCTGCCCTGCACTGGGGGTTTGGCGACTGACACTTGTGGCTCTGGTCTCTCAGAAAGTTAATTACATTTTTGTTAGGGTTTTTTCTCATCCAGTTAGTAGAGGAAGAAATTACTCTCCTCAAGTGGGGAGGGGGCTTAATGCCTGCTTGTGAATCCCATCCAGCCCTGGTTTATGTGAATTTCAGCGTACAAACTCCAGTTTATTTACTAAACTCCTAAACAAAGTCAGTCCTTGATTTATCACAGTCATAATGCTGGGGTTTGCAGGCTGCTGTACGCTCGTAGTATTGTCATGGGGGTTTCCGCATAAAGGAAATTTTCTTCCCAGTGTTGCTTCAAGATAAGTTGGATTCTCTATTATCAATACTGCTGTTAGAGCGGCTTCCGTTTTCCTGCTGCGCGTGTTTTGCATGTTGTGCATTTCTCTTTACCCTTGGGAAACAAATGTTTTCACAAGCTGTAGGACGCTTGGAGCTCCACCCATATCCTCTAGTTTTAATTAATCTTCAAAATCTAAAACTGTGTTTTTGAAAGTATGAAGGGCATTTGTCAAAACGATCACATGAGATTCATGATTAGCGCTTCAGGGCCCATCGCTGGTGTCAAATCCGTGGTGTCATCGCTCAGGGATGCACCTGGCCCTTCGTGTGGAGGTTTTTACACGGCACTGCGTGTTAAAAGAGTCATAGTTGTATGCTTAGCCGAACTGGCAGAGCTCTAAGAACTGCTTTTCTGTATATGTGTTTCTTTCTCTGAAACCTATAATCAAAATTCATTGGTTTTAATTCTGTGCGTGTTTTAACCTGAAAGCCCAGAGCAGAAAAACACACACAGTTTATCAGTTTGAAAGGGTTGGTAAAAGCGTTGCAAAAAAGTCATTGTGAAACACCATGTAGAAATAATCAGGAGAGGTTTTAACACGACCAGCCCCAGCCACACAACTTTCAGAACAGGCTTGTTTCGCTTTCCCACGTTGGGGGAGCACAGCAGGAGTTAAGCGACGCGGGGGGAAGAACGGCTGCGCCTTCTCCCTTCTGGTGTTGGTTGCTAATAGCGTCGGCGGGGAACGGGAGAGCTGCGCTCCGCCTGTGCCAAGCGCGGGATAAAGAGTGGCCCTCCTGGGTGACGGGCCCATTAGCAGGCTGAAGGAGCCGCTGTGTCTCTCCGGTGGCATTTTTCTGAGATAAGTTGCCGGTTGTCCCCAAAAGCTGGCAGCGAGCAGGTGGGGGCCTGGCTCTCGTGTGGTGCCACGGGGTTTTCCCACGGGGCTGGAGGCTGCACCCGGGGATCTCGCTGCTTTTGGCCGTTCTTGCTGTGAATCGGAGGAAAGGAGGAGAGACAGGAAGAAAATGACAATTTGTTGAAGTCCGCAGCAATGAAGGTGCTGAGATACGTGTGAGGAGCCGACACTAGGCTCAGCGTGCAGAATTAGTGCTGAAACCATCACAGCTGTGGTCTCGGTAGAGATTTTCACACTATTTTTATCTGGCGGGGTGAGCAGGGAGGACGACCGCGGTGCTGCAGAGGATGGGTGGGGATCAGGTGAGGGGAGTGAAGATGAGAGCGAGCGCAGGGTGGGTGCGGAGGTGAGGAGCCCGAAAAACCAACTGAGCCCTTCAACCTCTCGCCGTAAACAGGAAATCGAGGACCACAGAGAACGAGACAGAGGAAACGGGAAGGCACAAAGGGAGAGGCAGCAAGGGTGTTTGAACTAGACGGAAGAAAACACGTGTAGCGGCACCGAGCACCAGGTACCAAAGCGCAGAGGGCCTCCGGCTAAGCGGGGAGAGCTCCCATCCTCTCCCTCGCTGATAACTCGCTGCGCTTCAGGATGCTGAGGCAATGCAGAAGAAAAGGCGTCACTGGAACTTTTTCAGGGTTTTTTCCCCCTGAAACCATACTGCCTGAAGAATGCACTTCCCCATCCTCTTTAGGGCCACCAGTTGTGCTGGGGTGGGGACGCCTTTTTGGGAGAGTGACCCCAGGGCCACGGCAGTGCCGTCCGCAGGAGGGACCTGTCTTCCCCCTCCTGAAAAGGCTGATCTGGTGACTTCCTTTGACTTGCTTTCAACGACAGAAGATCCTAAGCTGGTATCGATTAATACAACGGCACCAAAGTTTTCACAACTTGACTTGGCCTGTCACTGCATTTCCCATGTCATGTCTTCAGTCTCTTCAAAGTTAGGCTCTGACCCTTCATCTTCTTTAAAACCACACGGATGTTCTTTTCCCACCCATTGCTTCTGTCGTGATCCCAAATCAGGAGCATTGTTGATAACCTTAACTTTTGACCAAAGACTCTTTAATGGATGGCTTCATGATGATATTTGGTACCTTTTTTTTGTTTTGCATACTATTTTCTATATCCAACTCTTTAGGATCCTGTACATCCGTATTTCTCTTCGGAATGAATGCAACCACAGGGATCTCTGAATGTTTTGCTTCTGTATAGACACTACGGTGGTTAAATAAACAAACTTGCTGAGCTGTTTTGGGGCTTGTTCAAGCTGGTGAAGGGAGATGCGGTAATTTCTGTTGGAATTTTCTTTAAAAAGCACCGACTATTGCAAGGTTTTTCTTCTGTGACTCATTTCAAAAAAAGACTTCAACTAAAAGCGTGGATTACTAGACAAGCAGATATGCAGATAGAGCATTCCCAGGAACTTGCTATAAATAGTTCATAAAATATATATTTAAGGTTAGTAGACGCTATATTTAAACCATTACTTGGATAGACAACTATTTCCACTAGTCAAATGCGTTGGGTTTTTTCGTCTTTGGTCCAAGATTGAACAAGCCATGTCATTACACCACTGGTACGAATTGCAACATGGTTAGGAGACGCCGCAGCTTTTGGCTGCAAAGGCAGCATTTATTTTTCTAGTATTGTCCGGCCGCGACGCGGTTTGGGCTCTGTGACGGACTGGCCGTTCTCCCGTTTGCGCGGTGCTTATCCACGACGCGCGTTGGAGGCCCGTGCTGCCGACGCCGGGCTGTTCTGGCAGCAAAGGGCACGTGCGTCGGGCAGCGCAGGGCGCGGAGCTTTGGGCAGCCGGGGGGGCACGCGCCGCCGCTTTTGAGAAACTGCACTTGGCTCCTCTCGGGGCGCTGGAAAGCGAGCCGCGGTTCTTGGTAATTTCCTGTTCGCTTCCTATGTCTTAGCAATCCTCCGCTTCACGCAGAGCAAGGACAAACAAGAGCAATGCAAGCTGTCAATTCATTGAAAGCGTGTTGCTGTTGTATCGCAAAACCCGCCTTTTACATCTTTCCAAGCCCCGTTTTTTTAATTGCACGCCTTACAGGTCGGTAAAAGCTGTTACCAATGGGATAGTTTCAGTGCATTAGCTTTGGTCACGTCCTACCAAGAATAAGTTCAGAAATGCATGGGAGGAACTGAAATCTTAGGGTGGGGTTTATGTAATTGGGCAAACCGCCACTGAAGTGCTGGTCTGCTCTCCCACTCCTTGTCAGGTTCCTCCTCCTTACCACCATCCTACTGTATGAATTCTCTTCTTACTGTCATCATCTTCTGCTTGTTTCCCAACTTGCTATCCTCTTCAGCCTCAGCTTCTTTATCGTTCCTTGTCACCAAGGCGAGGCTTTCGCTGCTGTCCCCAGGGTCCCGTGGGCCGGGACTGGAGATGAGCGTGCTGGGATCGTGCCCCCACCACGCTGCGCGGCCAGGCAGCGGGCACGTCCTTCCTTTTGAAGGACAGCATCTGCCGAACCCCTGGGTAGTCAGATACAAACTCTGCATTGATCTGCACCATCACGAATGTCTTCCGTGTTTCAAACAGCACGCTCGGAGTTTTCAGAGCTGGACATGTTACATTTTGGTTTAGGATTTACCAGTCTTCGTGTCCTGTTTCTGAACGTGTCAATGACTTTAAAGAGACTGATGGGAGGCTTAGGTGCTCAGCTGCTTGGAAAAGCAGATTGCTTTCATTCGAATGCCTAATTATGGACTTCGGAGTCCAAGTTTGAGCACCTGTGTTTTGACAAATTTGGTCTGTAGTAGTTCCCAGCTCAGTGAAATGACTCCTTGCTAACAAGGAAGGGCTTCATCCAAAGCTCTTGGCAAAAGAATTTAACCACAAAGATGTATAATATTTTCTGTCTGAGAGTTCTCGGCTTGGCAGATAGCTGTTTAGGAGTTTCTGAATTAATGTGGACTGTAGTGAGCCCGTGCATTAAGAGAGCTCTCATAGCCACTGTTTTTGTGTATAAACAGTTGTGAAAGGCTCTGGGAAGGAAAGGTGGGAAGAACCTATTTTTCTATGGCTTTAAATAAATGCAAGTCTACTTCAAACATGCAGTTACGGAAAAGTTCATCTTGACGTTGTGTAAATACAGTTACAAATGTTGAATCGGCAAACAAATACTGTAATGAGAATGAAAAAAAGTAAAAGGGAAGCTTTGGTCTTTGCTCTCTTTTGTACCTATCTTAATCCAAAGTGACTTCTGGTATTTCAGGGGATCTGTTGTGGGTTTGTGTGTGTATTCGAGAGTAGAAGTTGGCCTGTTCTTCCAGTGGCGGAAGATAACTCTTGATCAAATTACTGGAGAGTTTGATGAGCCTAAAGTGGCTTTTACGCTGTAGCTTTACAACAGACCCTTCACACCTTGAGAAAGCTGCTTATCTGAGCAGCAAGTAAGTCTGCAGTCTATCCTTCAGATTTATTCTGTAGATAGTAACTCAGGAAAACTCTCACTGTTAGAAAATGTTACAAAATAGGAAGAAAGGTGGATTTTCAGTGAAAAGTCCCGATTTCTTCAATGATTCCTTTCATTTACTATTAGACGTGTTTGAACATCACATTTTCATGCAGGTACACGAACTGTGATTTATTTTGAGTAACATCGTGTTGTTTTCCTAACAGATGAACGTGAGGCAGTTCAGAAGAAGACTTTCACAAAGTGGGTTAATTCCCACTTGGCACGCGTATCATGCAGAATTACAGATTTGTACACTGACCTTCGCGATGGAAGGATGCTCATCAAACTTCTGGAAGTTCTTTCAGGAGAGAGACTTGTAAGTGTTTATTAATATTCATTGGGGGGGGGGGTTGGTTTGGTTTGGGGTGTTTTTTGGTGAATCCTTGGCTCAGCTGATGTACAGCAAAACTGAGTACTGAGGCTTCAGCACTGCAAATGTCTTTTTGTGTATTAAAGGAGGGGAAAAAAAAAGTCTATTGCTTCAGCTGGATCCAGACACCATCAAAATACCTTCCTGCTGGTTTCAGTAGGAATCAAAGGAAGTCTTCTTCAAAGGTTCCTTGCTGGTGAGATGCTGAGTGCTTCCAGCAGCATACTCCCTGCTCCTGAACCTGACAGGTGCAGAGCACTAAATGTTCTCCAGCCCCTTAGACCGTCGCGGTGACGGTGAATTGGATGTGCTGAGGAGCCTTTCCCGGGCACTGAGGCCAGCTGGCCCGTTTCTGTGCTAGTAAACACAGCCACCGGATGCAGGTGGCTGCGTGCAGGCTGCCTGCCGGCCCGAGGCCTGGAACATCCCTCCTGCCTTCCCTGGAGCGTGCTGGGGGCTCGCGGAGGACAGCTGCTTGGAGAGCGCCAAGTCCACCCCGGGAAGCGTTGCAGCCCTTTTAGCCGTGGTGCTAATTGCACCCCACTGCCCAGGAATGCTCCTGATTGTGTACTTGACTTTCCTAGGATAGATAAGGCATGGATTTTCTTTGCTTAGAGGAATATCTAAAATGAATTTAAACGACCAGGGCAAATTCTTTCTTTGGGTGTGCTGAGAGCCCCGTTGATACCAGCACAAGGGAGTGGTGAGCAAGAAAATCCCTGTAGTGAAAAATGCTGCTGCGTGGCAGGAAAACTGGGTGTCAGGAAACGGCTGGGTATCAGTTTTTCCTTCAGTTCCTTAAATGATGGCTATGCTCTTAACTACCTAATTTAAAGCAATCTTTTCAAAGAAATACGGGTCTTTAGCTAAGACTTAAGGCTACATGAGGATGCGACTGTGTAATCGCTTGTCATCAAGCACTCCTATTAATGGAAGCTCCATGGCTTAAGACTCTGGTTAATGAATTGAACATATGGCCCCCAGCATAGCGTCTGTACAGTAAGGCAAGAGCTTTCTAAATGTGTCTCTGAGGGTAAGGAAACTCTGATGTGCATAGAAGTACCCCATGTGGATGAAGGCATTGTGTGGATGGAGGTAACTAATCTCAGCGTTTGTCAACCACAGTTTGCTCAAAACACGTTTTTCTCTACGCCAAATCATTTACTTCAGTGAGGTATTAGGTTTGACGTGTGCGCTGCAGGTAGCAGATGTTATTCATACAGGAATAACTTGAGACCAACGTGCCCCATTATTTGCACATTCAGACAGCAACCGCGCCACCTCTGCTTAAATCTTCCTATCTGCCTGCCAAGATTTGACTTTCCATGTCACATAGCAGTGGTGAAGCTCAGACCAGTCGTGTGACTCCTGCTGCGTGATTAATTTACATTTTTCGCTCCAGATTTTGAAAAATGCAAACAAGAGCTTACGCAGCTGCTGGGTGGGGAGGGTGCAGGAGCCACCCGGTGAGAAAGCTGGATCTGCCCTTGCATCATCGTCTGCGTATCGCATCGGCAGCTGCCTGCACCACCACAAATTCTTTTTGTAGCTTCCTTATCTCAGGATGGAGGACACCAGTCTCTGTTTGAACAGTACATTCCACCACACCTTCCTCTGCAAACAAGAATACAGATAACGCAATGCACTGAACCTTGAGACAATTACACACACCAAAAATATTCCAGGAGGACTGGCACGTAGCATCCACTTGCTGATGTTCTCCAGTCTTTTGGAATTTATTTTAGCTGGTATTGGTTAGATTCTGATATCTCCATGAGACCCACGCAGAAATCTAAAGGCAGTATCTTATGCAGAAAGCTTAAAATCAAGACAAGAAACATCAAATGGTAAGAAAGTAATAAACAAACGCAGGAACTAGCCTAGATAATTATTGTAATATGGTCTGCTTACCGAAGCAGTAGAACAAACAGGAATTGTTTTCTCACTTTTGAACTGGGATTTGGATTCTGGAGCTGGAGCCATATGCCTGTGGAGCAGAGTCTGGGATTTAGGATACTAATCAGGGAAGCAGGACTGCTCTTTGCCCTCTGTAAGATCTCCAGCCTCATTTGCACAAACCCTGCATTTTTCAAAAGCTGTTGTGATTTTTGATGATGAAAACCCAGAGTCCTTGAAGATATGTTGGAGAAACTCAAAACGAGAGTATCCAATGAGGGCAACACCTACATCTTCCTGTCCTTGCTCAGCTTCATTCCTAATCCTAGTGTTTAGTCCAGACCTCACTACGTAAGGTCCTCCGTACAGCACAGGACTTGGAAAGAAAGCGATAGCATGCAATGGTCTCACTGAGCAAAGCGGAAAAGAATCCAGCCAGTATGAAAAGACAGTTGTAATTTTGTTTGCACACACTGTTAACCAGCTTCTCCCAAACAGAAAAATAAAGCTGAGAATTGTTTTCAGCATAAAATTAAGCATTTAGCTCCATGTCTTCCATAGCTATATAAAGGATTAGTAAATTCCTTAGAATTCCTGGACGCGCAAAGGTCAAACGGTTTAAACAGATTCTCTGTAGTGAGTTCTGTCATGGTTTCTGTTGGAAAAGGGAAAATTTTTGATGTAAAACATTTTCCTTATAATGTGCGCGAGAAGACTCTGAGTTTAGGTAAATCCAAGAAACGATGCATTCGGTGTGCTTTCTTTCCCTCTGGTTGTTTTCTGGATCCGTGTTAGCCCAGTGAAGGTGGAAGTTGCGTCTCGCTAGCTCTCATCTTGAGGCTGTGCAGGAGAGCGTGGCAAGCGCAGCCACACCTCGTACAAACCGGACTCGGACGCCTCTTCCTCTTTTTGTTGCAGAACGGTAGGTTAAACTGTATGGCCTGCCGGTGCCGAGGGACAGAAAAATTGAACCTTCTGTCTTCTCGGGGTGCCTGACATTTTTTTGGCTGGGTGGCACTGTCATTCTCATCCATGCAGAAATTTGAAGTGCCTTCTTGGACCATTAATAAGTCAAAGTTTGAACAGCCCTAGATGGCACTGCTAATTAGCTGTTACAGCCTCAATAGGGAATTTCTGAGCCAGAAAGTGCACCTAGTACTGGAGCACTGGAAAAGTATGTCAGCCCACTCCTGCTCTACAGGGAGCAGCGTCCTTTTACTGTGTGAGCTCTGCTGCTTCACATACAGTCGTCGTGTTTGTGGGAGAAAAAAATAATCCTGCCAATAACCTGAAGGTTATGTTTCCTGGATTCTTAATCGGGGAGTATGTCGTCGTACAGAGCGTGGGTGGGAGCAGGTGGTCTCGGGAACTAAATAAAACGTCTAACGTGAATGGCATTAGCTCTGTCACCTTGGTGCTGGAGCTTCTGAGAGCAGAAAAAGAGCTTTTAAAACCATTTTCTGCTCAACAGCTTGAGGCGTTAGAGGCAATGCGGTTACTGCTTAGGTAAGTGGGAAGGGCTGCACTGAGGTGGGCGGACGGAGCGAGGTCTGCCACTGCTGCTTAGAAATGGCCACGGTCGCAGTCATTCCAGTGTTTTGGGAACACCACCATAGAAGTGAGCGTGCACACCTTGCCTAAGCCGCTCCTGGGCACTCAGGTGTGGCAATGGGCTGGAGCGAGCGCGGGCTGGGCGCAGCCTCGCCTCTGCCTTCCCCCGCAGCTGGGCGCTCCCTCTCCCGCCCTGGGAGCAGCCTTCCTACCTGTATTTTGCAAGATTAAATTAAACCTGTGCTCTGGGTTACCACACTCCTGGGTGACTGACGGTACCAGCAAAAGGGTGGATCCCGGATTGTCCCTGCTGATAGCGAGGGGTCTCCGGTTGGTTTCAGCCAAGCATGTACCCACGCTATGGCTCTTCACCCTGCACTGGCAGCGTTTGGGGCATACGCGCAATTTTTGCCTCTTCGGCGGGACTTTCACACCCAAAAGCAGTGGTGGGTTCCTGGAAATTTTTGCCCTGGCTGGGAGTTGCGGGTTGACTTTCTCTGCATCGTTACCCGGCCTCTGGAGGAGAACCTTGCTAACTGAAAGCTGAAGTGAAACTAATGACCTCGGGGGGTTGTGTGTCCTGAAGGGCATCTTTCTAGCAAGCCTTTCATCTTTACGACACGCTGTTATATGGGCTGCTGTTTCTAGGGACCATAATATGGCTCCGGCTGAAACTTCTCCCCTTGAATGCAGTCTGAGGCGAGGATTTTTTGCCTGAGCTATTTCCATGGCCAGTTAATTAAGTTCACTGCAGAAAACAAGGAAATTATGTTGATTAGTAGTTTGGCTGAGTACCTTTGGTGACATTTCGGTGAGCACTGAACAGGCTATTCAGCTGTAATCCTTATCTGCAGAACAGAGTTGCTTTAATTTTAACTCAGTTTTACAGCAGACTTCTATGTGCTGTTAATATATTCGTGGCTTTTTTCGTTTGCACTGGGCCTTCATAAAATTGTGTTACATTGGCATGGCTGATTTTTTTATTACTGTTTTTATTTCCTTTTCCTGTGAAGAAATTGTTTGGAATACTTCTCTTCTGTTATTTTCATACTACTTATCCTACTTCAGCAGACCAAAAAAAAGCAATGACGTTCCTTTCTCGAGGAGCTTTGTTGAGTAGCTTACAGTCCAAATCTGAGCTGCCTTTTTGGAGAGTGCGTGTCTGTATTTACAGATACTGTGGAGCGTTCATTACCAATTTCCTCTGTTGTGTGCGTGTGCCAGTTATCGGTTTGTTTCATATCTTTATCTTTGCAGAATCTTCTTTTTAAGTGTGGAAGGACTTGTACTGGAGAAAAAAAGCATCTTGCATCAACAGGTGTGGCATGAACCTATTCCAGCTAGTGAATGAATATACTAGACAGAAAAAATGAAGGAAGCAAGCGGGCAAAATACTTTGAAAAGCAAATGAAATGGGTGCCCAGGGTGTGCTGCTCAGGTCTAGGATGTTGGGATTTCCACCACGGGTTTGACATGTGCTACCGTTAGCCTTGTGTAGATGCGCCGTAAGGTGCAAGGAGCGGTTTTGTCCATTGCGTTGGAAGAACAAGTGCATACGGTGTTGCTGGCTGGGAGTGGACAACATGGTGACTCACCTGCCTGGACTGAAGAGTTAGCAAGCACTTTCTTGTTTTTTCCTTCCATCTACAGTAACACATGCTTTTCTTCTCCCTTCTACCTTCTAGCCTAAACCAACTAAGGGAAGGATGCGCATCCATTGCCTGGAGAATGTTGATAAAGCCCTCCAGTTCCTGAAAGAGCAGAGAGTGCACCTAGAAAACATGGGATCCCATGATATTGTGGATGGGAATCACAGGCTGACCCTTGGCCTTATTTGGACTATTATCCTGCGATTCCAGGTAAAGATGTATACGTACACAGATACACACACGTTTGAGTTTTCCGTACTCGTTTGTAGTATGCTTCACCGTGCTTTTTAAGAGTGGAGTGCGCCCAGGCCCTCCGAGATGATGGGAGGGAAAAGTGCTGGGCATCTGGCAGGACACGCTCCAGAGCTAAGGGGAGAGCATCCGTCAGTCTTCATGGTGCTGCTGATCCGTAGTGGCACCAACGGGAGTTTCCTGTGCAGAGAGTCGTGTGGGTTTATTTTTAAATTACGAAGAAATACAAAGCTCCGGTCATAGACGTCTACACTCTTGTAGACCTAGGAGGAAATGCTACCCTCAGCTGCTCTTCACCTCTGCGGTCATTATCGTTAACCTGGCTGACTTTGCACTGAAGTGGATTAAGGGTGCCCACAGGAATTGTTTGCGTCCCAGCTAAAGGCTGAGATTTCTTGTTTTCCAGCAAGTTGCACGTTGGTCTTTGCCCTCAGTTAAAAAAGGCTGGAAAGTCCTTTTGCAGAAAGGATAATAATTTT